GTTGTACGCACGGGTATGTATGGATGCGATGCCGCGCACAATAGGGTCACAACAGACACGAGGAGCAGTAGGCACGTCATCCCTCGGCTGCTGCATTATACGCGAATAATTTCCCGGACAATTACTTTCGGGGACGGCTCTGCACGCGGCTACTGCTGCAGGCGACGGCTCGCCCAGCCCCTCCTCCCTCCCTCCACGCTCTTAGTTCCCTTTGCTATTCTTCTCACCCTTTTTCGTTTCTCGCTCACCGAATGTATTGTCGTCGCTGTCTGTCCACACCTACACCCCGCGTTTCAAGGATACATTATTTTTTTCACTTCGCTTCGGTTCCATTCACGACTTTAGTTCCCTTGGCCTTTGTTCCAGAGGTTCGGACTATTTTTGGCCTCAACAGCGGAATGGTGACGACGCAAAAGACAGTATACTTACGTACGCCCACCCAGTTGTTGTATTTGTTTCTATTTTCAGGAATGTTCTTTTCATCGTCTCATATGTGGGTTAGCGGGATACGATGTTCGTAGATGAGCATTGCCTACATATACCACGGCATTATCACTCCAATGCTCTTGCGAGGGTGGAACTGGTTCAAAGTCGTTTGGGATATTCTAAAAATATGTCCAAGTGCGTGTTTACGTTTTTTTACTCAGATGTTACGAAAGTTTTTCCCCTATGCACGTGTTGATGAGATTTTTGGGGTACGCCTGTGTACTCTGCGGTTGCGTGACGATGTGGCGTAGTGATTAATTTCAGGAGTTCTAAAAGCGTGGGTACAATTAGGACACGAGCGTAACTTTATTTTTTAATACACACCTGACTTTTATGAGTGAAATCTTTTTACGTTTGTTTTGTAGGTTTGATATAAATGTACAGTATAAAGATATGATGCGTCTGATTTAGTGAAACAAAAAGAAAAGTATCAAACGTTTATAATCCATGAGCGATTTATCTCATACTTATAGTGTATACAGAAGACGATCAAACGGGTATTAGAGGGACGATCCTGCCGCGAGATGATTAGACCTCGTGAGAAACGATTGAGTTTCTGAAATTCGTTAAATTACCATGACTAAACTGTTATGGCCAAGCTTGAAAGTTGTAAATCGACCCACGCACAAACGATAAAAACTTATTGATGGAAATAATAGCTCGTAGATCGTAGTTTCGCGTTCATGAAAATATTTAAAAATATCCGAATAAAATGCTAAAGATCGAAAAAGTTTAATAACACGCTTGCCGTACAGTATCACAGTGACAGAGCTTTCCTAAATATGCGAGAGGGAAAAAAATATACTTGAAACGTCGAGGTAAGACGCAGGCACGACAATGGCCATGGAAATTCGTGCGACTTTCAGCTGAAATTTTTAAATCGCGTCAAACTCAGGGCGCAGGGCATGCAAATCAGTCTCCCTCCGCTCACGTATGTATTGTGCCATTGTGCTCCTGCGAGTGCTGTTGCAACGCGAAATCAGCAATTTGCGATGCAGCGTCAAATCAGCAGCAGCGAATGAAAAGTTTTGTAGCTCTCTCTCTCTTTTTTTGTAGCTCCGATTTGCAACTCTTCTTACGTAAGCGAGAGAAACTTAACGAGCTTCGAGAAGCTGAGCGCGCGTTACGACACAGCTCCATCTCTAAGAGAATATTGTGTACTGAAATTTTTTTTATAACGAATGAGCAAGAGTGTTTTACGTACAGCTGCTGATGAGCGTGGTAGTTTCGTTGATTTTTCCGTTGACGATCTTACGATTTTTCAGAGTAGCATTTTATCGGCACATCGTTTCCACTGAAATATCGTGTAGGGGTTTTCTCGGGCTTTCGTTTAAATTTCAATGACACGCAAAATTGGAGGTTCTGCAAAGGCTCGTTTGGCAGAGCAGTGGGTTTGATAACTTGACAAATACCTAATATTTATGAATTTAATACTCACAGATTTCAAATACAAATCATCTTGGGTCACTTTGATGATTGAACCGTCTGACCTAACTCGTCTGTTTCTACTTGAGTTTGTAGACTCCAGTAGTTTTCAAATTAAATCCCAGGCATTTATTATTACCAAACGTTTGTACGTATGTTATAGACTTTATCAGTAGAAAGTATATTTTTGGATAACATAAGTCCTGCAAAATAATCCGGAAACAAAGTCTTATGACAAAATTCGAAGACTACTTATACTTGTATCTAAAGTGTCCAAAGTTGATGATTGAGCAAAACTCACGAGTAAAGGGACTCTCATACTATGGAAAAGAAAAACGACGCTCTGAAATCATGAACAACAAAAATTGTTATCAACACCCGTTCCCTTGCATGAACGAGCGAAGGACCAAAATCACAAGCCACAAAATCGTATCGACTCGATCGAAGTTCCGTTGCACGCTCAAACGCCTAATTAAGCGGAGCCTCTTCTCCGTTCCTATACCATCGAAGCACCTCTTATCGACGAGGTACAGAGGCACGCCTCTTCGTCAAAGTCAAGTTCCAACCAGCCTCGCCGGCGTCTTCTGCACCCTCGGCGCTTTGATGCTGCGCAAATTTTGTCGTCGACCCCCTCCTGCTTCCACCCTTTATCGCAAACACACTCCCCATCCCTCTCGTAACGGGGACCGATCTTATACGCACAGGCTCTTTGACTACGGCTACCGATATGTTGAAGTGGTAATTACCACTCTGGTGAGCAAGGGGAGAAAATAAGAAGAGTCGAGACACGCGACACTGACCAACGATGTGCTTTTGCAGGGGAGTGAAGAGGGTACCTTTAAAGTTCGTTGCCTCGTCGAGTACCACCGCCGAAAGATTCGAGCGAAAGCTTGAGCTTTCGACTTTTAGCCAAGAGGAGACTTATCTACAGTCACACAACAATGGAGGAGCCCACTCTTGTTCTCTTTGCTGTTAAAATCGTCCCAAGAGCCATTATAGGTCGTAGTTCGTTGCTTGAGAGCACATGGATGTGTCTCCCGACGGGCAATTTCTTCCACCTACTGAGTCCTTTCTTTTTTCTGTATACCTAAACGAAAACGCGGGGGTGGTCCTTTCTTATTTCGTGGAGGTTTTGAAAAATGTCAAAAAAGCCGAGGGCTCTTGAGAGGGTCGTTTTGAAAGCCACTTGGTACCGTTGTTTCGATTATGCTTTTTATCTCAGTTAAGAGGGGTATCAACTTTTGGAGACACATAACGGGGAGTTAAGGGATGTCTAAGTTTTGTATTTATAGGTTTTCTTTTTAATACCATTTTTACATCGATATTGCTGAGATTGCTTGTATCCGGGGAAAAGGTCGTTTTCAAATCACAACTAATTTTATTATTAAGAGGGTGTGTAGTATCTCACACACAATGGCAGAAATCTAAATAGAAATTACTATTTTGTCTGGAAAGATAAGCTGTTTATAGAACTTCTACTGTTTGATCGATAATTTTAGCTTTTATCAACCAAACTTTATAGAAAATAGAAATTTTTGTTCGGAACAGTGAAAAATCATTGACCGACTAATATCACTAGATTTTGGAAGTATAGATTTCAATAAAAAATTTTGATGGTTTTTATGTTGGATCACTTCCAGTGATTCAAATTGAAACTGTTAATAAAAAACAAAGAAGTAATTAATTACAGAGAATTATCAATCAAAAATTGATTTAACGTGAAAATCTAATCTCTTGACAAAAATAAACGCACAAGGATATTTTCAATTTATTTTTAACATGATATTGACAAGGCAGCAATTCTTTAAGCGAGAGGAAAAATGTGTGAGCTCGGGCGAAAACTGATTAATTAAATTTTTTTTGACATCGATTTTCTATACGACCTACATGTACAGTTTGTAACCTTTTGCTCACATTATTTGAAATACGGAGCTCAGGTATTAGTTAGAAAACGTTTTTAAATAGCTGAAACGTGGGATTTATTTTTAGAGTTAATATTGGCCGCGTTGCTTCAACTTTTTCGAAATGTGTATTGCCATAACTATTTTTATTATACATAATAAAAAATTTCTTGTTACGAATTTGTCAACATTATTGATGAATGAAAAAGGTGTCATTAAACGCTATATTTATTTTCAAAAATAATAACACAATTTACAATGTAAGAAAGTATCGATGGATAAAATATGTGTTTCCAAGTTTTTCCGGAAAAAACTTATGAATTGGAAAAAATGCCATTCACAGATCTTCTACACCATGGAGTAATCCGTTACACTTGTCTATCAGCGTAATTTATGTGATTTTAAGTTTGTAAAAACTTTCAAAGTTAAGAGGTTGTCAATTGAGTTCGAATGCGCAAGTTCCTCTGCTTTTACGGACTTATTCGAAATTTTCCAAGCTTGTAATTCCTCCACTTTAACTTTTATGCACCGGTTCAGGTGTTGCATAATATCATTGAGAATAATGGACTTTGTTTGGTTTTATTTTTACGCTGTTATTGTTGTGGTTTTAAAGTTTTGTTTTTCTTGAAAGATCGATAAAATTTTTGTTCAAGTCCATCGAAAGTAATATTACCATCAACTGGTATTATTAACGTTGTTAAGAATCTAAAAATTGTATAATTATTTATTCTTGTCAAATACAATAAATCAATAAGAAAATAAAATTGTTAAAGTTAATATTGTCAGAAAAAAAATATTAACAATGACAAAATCATGTTGGTAATGTCCAATCACGTTACAGTTATGAATGACGACAACAGTTAGTTCAAATTTTTTTACGTGTTTTTAGTGGTAAAAAATAAATCTTTTTACTGTTCCATCTGATCGATCAAAAATTATAAAATTTTGAACGCTCACAAATTTGTTGCACAGTTTGAAAAAATATTAGAAATAAGTATTTTAAAATTTCACTATATTCATCATCAAAAAACTCAAAAGCTCAAACTAGCTCAGAGTTCTAACCCATGCCTAATCTTCCAAGAATATTTAATCAACACAAATAAAACTCTTGTTAAGATGAAATTACCATAAAATTAAGTTATGTAATTAAATAGTTAGCTTTCAAACATAAAAAATGTCCAATCTTACCTGGAAGGCTATGGCATCTCGCTCAATCTTGGTCATGTTTTTGAATATCGTGTTGATAATCTGAGTGAACTTGCTGCGGTCCAGTGCCGTTGGATTGTCCTTCTCGAAGTACTCAATAAAGTCGTACAGTATGAAATACGTTCCTGAAAGAAGAAACGAAAGAAATCGTTTATACTTTTTTCCATCGATACCAGACGTGTTGTGCACCCTTTTTTAAAGATACATAACACGTGTTCCAATTTCATAAGAAAAATATTATTCTGTTCCTATATATTATAATATAAAATCAAGAATAATCAGTCATAAAATCATCTCTCATTGGGTTCGTCAAAGCCCTAGAGTAGACCTCGTAAAATCACGGAGACAAAAAAAGACTCTTTTCACGGCGACGAGCTCACCGACCCCATCCCAGTCTCAACAACTCAGGTAGGCTCCCATCGGTGCCTCGGCATCAATGATACACGCCATTAGAAATTTTCTACTACTCCATGCAGCCGTATCCACCCTCATCGGGCATACTTTGCCCATCATCTCTTCCATTATGAAGCCTTTCATCAGGACTCACGGGGAATCCCCAAGCGAGCCCCAACTACGCAGTCCTCCTTTCAATGCCTTCCTTTCGAACAAAGAAAAAAAAAGGGAGAATGCTCTCGCCCATTTTTCCTCGGAGATTTTCATTAAACACCATCATTCCGCTAAATAAATTACACGCCGTCGTGGACAAAAAGAGCGAGACAAATGCGGGGAGAAAATGAGCGACACAACAGGCAAAAGGGTTGAAAAAAAAAAAAAAAAAAAGGATAGTGCTTACCGCGGACGCATACTTTGGATTTATACACGAGTCCCTCGTCGCTGTGGCTGCATTAATATTACAGAGAGAATAATGACACTGGGCCCGTCTCCCTTTCTCTCTCGCTGCGTTATTCAGCAATGCACTCTCTCTCGTTCATTCGGTGGTTCGTCGCTCCATTTTTAACCCTTTTCGCGATGCAATTCCACTTCGGGCTACGACAATTTTTCTCTGACGTGGTATTGAATTTACATGATCGAGCACGAACACATGGATACACGGTACGGGTTTTAACGCGTATTTTTTTTGTTTTAAAAAACAGATGGGTCAAAGTACCCGGAACACTGTCGTAGTACACTCGTGCTCGAGAAAAAATCGGGCTTGGGAAGTGTAGAACGATACGACTGTGTTTTTACAGTTTAACGTTGTTATCACGTGCTTGTACGTGATACTACTTTTTTTTTTTTTTTTTTTTTTGTGTGTAAAAAGCACAGCTGTTGTGGAACAATAATGCCTTGGGACGCTTATTTTTTCAATTTAATCGGTACAACAGATTCGCTCGATTCATGTTTTTTTTTTTTTTTTTTTCAATCTAGTTCTGTGTGACGATACTATCTCGATTTCTGCTACAAATTCATAAAAAAAAAATTAAAGTTATTTAAACTTTTTTTTTACGCGATCAATTATTTATCAATAGTTTGTTTCATGAATTTTATAAATATCTTAAATATTCTAGTGAGAAAAATTAACTATGGACATTTGATTCTTTTCATGACACTTTTAAAGTACAGTTAAAACTCATTGTTAAGATAGCAGCATGAAAAAGATTTTTATTGAACTAAAAATTTTCTATAACACTTTTTAAATCTAAAAATATCTACTGCTCTGAGAAAACATTCCTACCAGTTTCTCTTCAACCAAAGTTTCCCCAATGGTGGAAACTTGAATTTTGATATTTACTTTTTCAAAATTTTACTAAGTGAGGGGCACATCAATTAAATTAATATAATGCTATTCATTTGAAAAAATAAATTATTCATCATTTACCTAAACATAAGCGTGCATTATAACTGTTACTATGACAACTTTTTTGAATTTTTATACAAACTCCAAATTAACCATTACTAATACCACTGTATTTCTCTAAATCTCTTGAAAAATAAATAAAAACCAATTTCCATGATATAGATTTAGCCACACATTGTACGATCCTTCGTCCGTGGACGCTGATTGAAAAGAAAAGCGTACAAAACTCTATTTCCTTCTTCCACCCACCCCGTTTCGACTCCGCACTCACGGACACGGAAGAAGAGATAAGGCATAAGAAAGTCACCCGCAGCCCTCATCCACGAGTCCCGGCACGTACGCGTTTTCCTCGCTCTCACACCCGAGATAGCGATTGCAAAAAGAATTAGCCCCACACGCTGGGCATTTTTTAAACCATAGATCTCTGCAGCTACCACGCAACGCAGTGTCGTCTTGTAACTTCGTTTGTTGCGCGCGTTAATTACACTGCAGGATGAGATGTAACGACAGATGAGATAGTGGAGATAGGAGTATGGGGTTGGAATATTAAAATGATAACAAGAAAACCGATTTTTTCGGACTTTCCTGTTGGTTTGAAACTTGAAAGATAAGTTTATTTTGACTACTCGTATAGCTTATGTAATTTCTAATTGTGCAAGATACATTTTATTCTCATGAAACTAGTCACCAAACTAATGAGCTGAAAAGAAAATTTTTCAGTTATGCACAGAGCAACGAAACCAGAAAAAAATGGCAAAGGATCTATGATACTGCCAGAGTCAGCAACTTATCAGGCTTGAATACGGCCATTTAGCGTGTAAAATAGGGGTTGAAACAAGCTTGAAAAAAAAAAGAAAAAAAAAATTAACACACGAGAGCAAAAAACGGATGAAATCGCGCTGGAAGTCTGAAGGGCGCGTATAATCCATGTGTGCTTGACGCTCGCACGATGAGTGGCATCTATCAGTGTGTATAATACGAATGTCGAGCTCGTTCTGCTTCTGTCCAGTGTACCTATATTATGGTGCTCTGTGTCGTTGAGTTTTTTTCAAATTAATTAATTTTTTTTCGCTCTTGTACTGTACGGTTTTCCACGTTAGAGATGTCGACGTAAAAGGTTTTTCATCATCTGTTGAATAAAATTTTATGAATTTAAGAATATTAAAGACATCATCATTTTTTTTGTTTAAATGAAACTTCGTCTATTTAATGTCAAGTGAAATCTTACAAATACCAAGATACAACTTTAATTTGAATATTGGTGCAGTTAAAAATAAAAGACTTTTGTTAGCATGTAAGGAAGATAATAGAATATTTGGTAATAATTTTCATTTAAAAAGTGACTCTTCTTAATACTTAGCGTAAATACAAAAGTAATTATTTTAACAATGTAAGTGGGAGAAATGTCCTTATTGAGTAATGAAGTTGTTTAATATTTTTAATAATCTAGATTTTCCTTTAATATAACATCAGTATAAAAGTCATGTAAAACTTTGAATTGAAAAGTTCATTAAAGTCGTATGTACAAGCCACATGTTTTTCTTCATGATAATGTCAACTCAATTACCTTCGAAATCTCAATTACTTCAAACAAGAAAACTAAAGCAGATCTGCAAATATCTCAATTAAAAATCAAGCACGTTCCCACAATAAATCATCCCTCGGTCATCCCACGCGGTACAATGAACATTCACCCCCTCCACGTCAAAAACTTGGCCACTGTAGCCGCAAACAAGGACAAAGCCTACTACTATCCACAGGCTGCCACCCGTGGCGTCTTGTACCCTCGTCCTCCTCGGTATGAGTACAGCGACTTCCGTAAACTTATCCTCGTCACGGAAGCCCCTCCATCCCGGTGGTTAGCACGAGCTTCTTTAGACAATCAAGCCGAGCGCCGCGTTTCACAATCCCCTAACCCCATGCTCTGTCTCTGCAGCGCGAAATCTTTCCTTGTCTCCGAGAGGAAGCCGGAAGTTGGGCTCTTCCCGGCAGACTCGCTCGGCATTCCGTGGCTCTCTTCCTCTCCCTCCTCTCCGAGTTATCTGTATGTACGCAGTGCAAAAGAGGGGACCAAGGGGTAGGGTGTATTTGACGTCAAACTGGGTCAAACGCCCTCCCATCGTTTCTTTGCAATTGTAACTTTGCTCCGAGTTGCGCAACTATATGCAGAGTGGTAGCCTTTTTTTTTTTTTTTTTTTTTTTTTTAATTTTGTTAAAAGCTAGGCAGCGACGTCCATGTATGCTCCGTCGAAGGAAGATTTAGCCAGCGCTTAAAAATTCGATCTGCTCGCAGGTGATTTACTTGTTTTGGATTCGGACGTGGAAATAATCGTGCTCCCCGCTATGCGTGGAAATTCTTGTTGGATTTACGAGTTTTTGGATTCCAGCCTCCTATTCAGGATACGGGGAACATGCTTAGCGGTGGGTATAATATTATAGACCAACGGTGAATGGGGAAGGATGATTGTTGTTGGAGAGGGGAAGCAGCGTTTTCATTAGACCCCTGCTGGCTGGAATCAGTAAGTGTGTAATGATCATTGCACGCGTGACTGGGTTCCCGGATGCTTCGTATGGATAGTCGGAAGAGAGATAAGGATAGCACGCGTTTTCATCAAAATCATTTTTTTTATGATATCGAATCATACTTTAAATTTAGTGACTTATTTTTTAAGCTACGGCCTTTACAATATTTTAATAAATCAACTGCGAAAATATACATATTAAATAATAAGTAAGACACAGGATTCATTTCACCGCGGCACAAATCGGATCAGTGCCGAAGTGAATCCGTTATAATTGAAACGAAAATAATTAATTAACATTGCCCAGAGCTGCTCCTTAAGATCATCTTATCTTCTTTGGAAAATATTGCGTTTCGCAAGTTAATTGAAGAGCCGAAGCTCCCCGATCGGGAATTCCCTCATGACTGCGAGGTAAGCAGAGAAAATCCTTGGGCGGCCGAGGATGTTGTTATTGTACTGCGTTGCAGGGGAAAATATGTTTTACGAACCGTAAGTTTCCTCGGTGTACCTCACGAGCTTTGATAAATGGATTTGTAGCATACTACATGTTAGCTAACATGCACGGTGAATGTAAATTGATTTAAGTAATACATTACCGTTGTTATATTGTGCTTTGCTAGTATTGAAATTATTATACAATCTTCTGATAAAAGTTCTTAATTTATTAGATAATCCATACAAAATATAGGATCAAAAACTTCTAACATACAAAGAATCATGTATAGGTATGGCGGTTATGTCTGACCGAATCTACGTTATTCTACTTAAAAAGTCAATGGTTCCGTTACTGGCTTCTTTAAAAATG